TCAAGGAGACAAAGCTCAACTGATGAATTGGGAGAAATATGGTGTAAGGATTGGAGTAGAAGAAGGAAGCCTATTGTCCTCTGAGACAGTAGAAGCAGCAGTGGTTGCTCTTGTAGGAGGACAGTTCGAGTTTCCTCCTAATACTGTGCTAGTGAGTGCTGTGTATGCAGTATCACTCTCAAAGCCTCTCCTCAAACGACTTAAATTAGAGATACAGCACTGCGTTGATTTAACAGGACGACCAGGTCTTAGTCATTATCTAAAGTTTGCTATAGCTCCAGTGAGCACACCCAGTCTTCCTTACCAGTTCTCAGTGGTTGAGGAAGGAGAGTTTAGCTCTAATAGTGGGTATGGATCCATTCAACGTAAGAAGTTCTGTTTAGTTTGTATACTGGGAGAAGAATCAACTAATGGAGATTCAGATTCAGAAGATGATGAAAATGGAAGCAATGATGATTCTTCTAGTCATTCATCAGATTCATCCAGTGGATCAGACAAGACAGGTGGTCCACCAGGAGCTAGCAATGGAGCAGCAAATGGTCAGTATACATGTACATGTGTAGTATGTTTATGACATGTACTTATAGAATCTAATCAAGAGGAGGAGGAGGAGGAGGAGGAAGATGAAGGAGATCAGGAATTAGGTGACAAAACTGAAGCAGTTACTGAAGGAGCAGCAACACCTCTCACTGTATCTGACAGTAAGAATGAATCAGAGCTTTCAAGCACTGATAGTAAGTACATGCATGTTGTCATGTACATAAGTTCTTCAAGAAAAATTATTTTTAGCAACCTCTGGTGCAAAGAATTGTTTTAAGCTTCTCTTTCATAATAGAATTTAAAGGTATAGGAAAATTCATGAGGTACACTGGAATGCTCTATTATGAAAAAGACGGAGTAGAAGATTTGGTTACCTTCACTGCAGCTAAGAAACTAAATGCTCTCATTAAGGTACATGTGCTTGCCAATTGATTTGTAATGATTTTATTGAAATTGATTTTTTGATTTTTAATTTTATTATAGTATATCACAAAAAAGCATTCTCATGCTAAAACAGGACAGTATGTTTATTTTCATTTCAAAGATAAAGATGGATACATTGAGTTACAGTTTGATGCTCCACAAGATGAGCCAGTTACTGGATGGGATATTAAACCTCACATGAAACCATGTAGAGTAAGTATAACTTTTATTAACTAATAGTTTATATTTTTAATAGTTGTATCGTTGTGATGTTGACAATTTTGGTAGCAAAGATTATCCTCTTCCTCCATCTTGTCTGATATCAGTGTATGGATCACCTGATGCTGTCCCTACACTACATTACTCCATACCACTGGAAGGTGTGGCTGATCCTGTTACATTAAACATTCATAGAGCACGAAGAAATCCTCCTCCTTCAACAGGTAATAGATACAAATGATTTTAAATTGTTTATTTATTTAATATTAATCAGATCCTACTACCTCCTCCTCTAATGTAGTACATGAATCAGCATCAGTATCATCCACTGGAGGAGCTAGTAAGTGATAATACTGTGTGTATACTGACCTTTGACCTCTATTAGGTCCATCAGCTACTGTTGATGTCAATAAAGTAAAGAAAGTGATAGACAATGTTCTTGTATCTCATTATGCTGCTCTCAATTCTCTTAAGACGTCTCTCTCAGATCTTGCCAGTCAGTTATATGCAGCTTATCTTATTAGAGAAGAAATCGGGGAGACTCGTAGCATGGAAAAGTTTATTGCAGAGTTCAAGGCTAGTCTTAGTTTTATGAGGAAGTTACCTAAAGTACAGGAGCACTGTCAAAAGTTTCTAAACTCATTCATTGCTGTAAGAGGCAGTTATGCTAATGCAGCAGAAGCTTTAGGTGAGGACTGGATTGAAGCTAT